AAGACAGGTCATTTTGTAAAGACTAAAGGTCAGTTTTATATTATTGGATATGATATCACGAGTGCATATGTGCTGCATCATTGTAACTTCTGCACTGTTAACCAGGCATGGCTGGAAGGTCAATATAGTTAAAATAATAAATGTATAATGTTACCAGATTTAAGCTATTTAGTCTAAACATTTGTGTTTTTGTGTTATAATCTTTAGTCATTCTAGCATGAAAAAAGCATGATTCAAATTTATTTCCTAATTTTTTATGGTGGTTACAAGGCCAGTCAAATTGACAGACCCTATAGAGTTAGGGTAGAGAAAAGAACAGAAAAAATATAAAGTTTTACTGAAAACAAATGTTTGAAATGTATTTGGGATGTTTTAGAGATTACACAAATAACATCTGAGATTTTGGGGACAAACAACAGTTTTTTACTTATAACATTAACATCACTTTGCACTTGGACTGGTTACGAAACAGACTTGATATTTTCACGAAAAAATCCATAATAAAAATACTTCATTAAAAAATCAGATTTTTCGTGAATGAAAGACTCATAATCTTTACTAAAATTCTACCAAATTTTGTGAAGATAAACTTACTACATTAAAAGTTATAGTATAAATACTTAACGTGTGCAAATGTGTATATGAACTCAAGTATATTATACCGAGCCCATCATAAAAGGTTTAATATGAATCATTAAAGTTAGTAATTCACTACAAAACATGTATTACATTGGTAAAATATAAAAAAAATCAATACAAAAAAGTTTGATCAGGAAGTTTATCTGTGCTTTTTATTTACATAAACTTGTTCAATTTTTTTTTACCGTTATATTTCATTCTACCAGAAATTCTACAATTGTTTAACCATTATTTTGTATATCTGTCTGTTATAACTGTATACACTAAGTATTTAAAATTATTTTATTTTACTTAACTCTCTTAACACTAGCTCGGTCAATTTGACCAACCATGTGACCTCTTTGTACTCGTTTAAAGTCTTTATAAATTTAACACATCTAATTTTCAATATAATGTGTAAATGTTAACAAAATTTGGCAGTTTTTTTAGTGAAGTATTTTAATAAAATAAAATACAGATTTGTCCATGAATATATTGATCATTTGTTTTGAATAGTCCGTGTGCAAAATAATTT